ACAAAACCCTGAGAGCAGCTCAGGACAACAGGTCCTTAACCTACAAGGGTAGAAACATAAGGCTGGCAGCAGACCTGTCCACAGAGACCTGGAAGGCCAGAAAGGACTGGCATAATATATTCAACACACTAAAGGGGAAAAATAAGTGGCCAAGAATACTTTATTTTACTCTATTCAGAATAGAAGGAGAGAGAGTCTCCAGGACAAACAAAAACTAAAGGAATTTGTGAACATTAAACCAGCCCTGCAAAAAATATTTAAGGAGATCCTTTGAACAAAGAGAGAGCCCAAAAGTAACAAAGACCAGAAAGGAACAGAGACAATCTATAGGAACAGTGACTTTACAGGTAATACAATGGCACTCACTTCATATCATTCAATAATTACTCTGAATGTAAATGGACTAAATGCTCAATTGAAAGACACAGGGTATCAGAATGGATAAAAACAAAACAAGACCCATCAATATGCTGCTTACAAGAGACTCATATGTGGAATTTAAGAAACAGATAAACAAGGGAAGGAAGGAAAACAAAATAAGATGAAAATAGAGAGGGAGGCATACCATAAGAGACAATGAGGTCTAGGAAACAAACTAGGATTGCTGGAGGCGAGGTGGGTGGGGGAAAGAGGTAATTGGGCATTTAAGTAGGACACTTGATGTAATGACGTTATATGGTGTTATATGCAAATGACAAATCACTAAATTCTACCCTGGTAACTAATAATACAGCATATGTTAACTAAATTAAATTTAAAGAATTTTTTTAAATAAATAGATAATAAAAAAAACCACAATGGGATTCCACCTCTCACCTGTCAGAATGGCTAAAATTAACAACTCAAGAAGCAACAAATGTTGGTGAGGATGCACAGAAAGGTGCAACCACTCTGGAAAACAATGCAGGGCTCAATCTCAGGATCCTGGGATCATGACCTGAGCCGAAGGCAGATGCTTAATGACTGAGCCATACTTATACTGTTGGTGGGAATGCAAACTGGTACAGCCATTCTGGAAAACAGTATGGAGGTCCCCTTTTTGTAACTCAAAAAGTTAAAAGTAGAACTATCCTATGACCCAGCAGTTGCACTACTTGATATTTATCCAAAGAATACAAACACAGTGATTGGAAGGGGCACATGCACCCCAATGATCATAGCAATGATGTCCACAATAGCCAAGGTGTCCAACAACAGATGAATGGATAAAGAAGATGTGGTGTAGAAATACAATTGAATATTAGTCATCAAAAAGAAGGAAGTCTTGCTATTTGCAATGACATGGATAGAACTAGAGGGTATTATGCTAAGAGAAGTAAGTAAGAGAAAGACAAATACCATTCGATTTCACTCATATGTGGAATTTAGAAACAAAACAGATAAACATAGGGGAAGGGAAGGAAAAAATAAGATAAAAACGGAGAGGGAGACAAACCATAGGAGACTTTTGACTATAGAGAACAAGCAGATTTGCTGCAGGGGAGGTGGGTGGGAGGATGGTGTAAATGGGTGATGGGCATTAAGAAGGGCACTTGTTGTGATGAGCACTGGGTGTTATATGTAAGTGATGAGTGACTAAATTCTACTCCTGAAACTAATACTACACTATATGTTAACTAACTTGAATTTAAATAAATCTAGGAAGGAAAAAGTTAAAATAAAAATAGCAAACACTTGGGAAGCCTGGGTGGCTCAGTTGGTTAAGCAGCTGACTCTTGATTTCAGCTCAGGGCACGATCTCAGGGTCCTGGGATTGAGCCTCACATTGGGCTCTGTGTTCAGCAAGGAGTCTCTTGAGGATTGTCTCTCTCCCTCTTCCTCTACCCCCCCCCCGTTCTCACTCTCCTCTCTCTAAAATATGAATCATTGAACACTACATCAAAAACTAATTATATACTATATGTTGGCTAATTGAACATAATATAAAAAAAGAAAGTTGCATTCTACACACACACACAAAATGAAAATAAAATGCTTGGACTTTGGGGAGGGTATGTACTATGGTGAGCACTGTGAATTGTGTAAGACTGATGAATCACAGACCTGTACACCTGAAACAAATAATACATTATATGTTAATTAAAAAAATAAAATGCTTATCAGTTAAAAAAATAAAATGAAAAATCTAACACACAACAAGGACAAAGGACATCATAAGAAATTCACAGAAGAAAAATGAATGGTCAATAAACATGGAAAGAAGCTCAACTGTCTTAATCTGTAAAGATCAAATTTAATCCAGATTTTTCAGAATTAAAAAAGTTAAAACTTGAAAATTGGTGTTACTAACCCTTTGTCAGATATGTCATTTGCAAGGGTAGTAGCCAAACTAAATAAAGAAGTTATAAAACTCAACACCCAAAAAACAATCCAGTTTGAAAATGGGCAGAAGACATGAATAGACATTTTCCCAAAGAAGATATACAGATGGCTAACAGACACATGAAAAGATGCTCAACATCACTCATCATCAGGAAAATACAAATCAAAACTACAATGAGGTATCACCTCACACTTGTCAGAATGCTAAAATTAACAACACAGCAAACAATATAGGTTGGCAAGGATGTAGGGAAAGTTTGTTGGTGGGAATGCAAACTGGTGCAACCAGTCTGGAAAACAATGTGGAGGTTCCTTGAAAAGTTAAACATAGAAATACCCTACAATCCAGCAATTGCACTACCAGGTATTTATGCAAAGGATACAAAAATACTGATTCAAAGGGATACACACACCCCAATGTTTATAGCAGCATTATCAACAATAGCCAAATTATAGAAAGTGTCCAAATGTCCATCAACTGATGAATGGATAAAGAAGTTCAGGTATATATGCAAAATACAAAAGCATTTTACTCAGCCATAAAAAAGAATGAAATCTTGCCATTTGCAATGACGTGGAGGGAGCTACAGAGTACTATGCTAAGTAAAGTAAGTCAAAGAAAGACAAATACCATATTATTTCACTCATATGTGGAATTTAAGGGAAAAAAAAACAGATGAACATAGGGGAAAAAAGAGGGGCAAACCAGAAAACAGACTCTTAAATATAGAGAACAAACCAAGGGTTGCTGGAGGGGAAGTGGGTGGGGGGAATGGGTTAAATGGGTGATAGGCATTAAGGAGGGCACTTGTAATGAGCATTGGGTGTTGAATGTAAGTGACAAATCACTCAATTATACACCTGAAACTAATACCACATTGTATGTTAAATGGAATTTAAAATTTGGGGGAAAAAGAAGCCTAGGGGGCACCTGGGTGGCTCAGTCTGTTAAGCATCTGACCCAATCTCAGCTCAGGTCTTGATCTCAGGGTCATGAGTTCAAGCTCCATGGTGGACTCCATTGCTGGACATGGAGCCTACTTAAAAAAAAAAAAAAAAAAAAAAAAAAGCAGCAGCCTAACAAGTTACTGGTGTTAATTGGAGTCAATTTAGTACTAGTATCTAGTGCTATTTTTAGATACCCATGCCCTTGACCTAATTTCATTTCTCAGTACCTACAGAAATATTTATACATGCACAAAAATATGTCTAAGGGTAGTGATTCACTCTGCATTTCTTAAATACTGAAGAAATTGAAGTAGCCCTTAACATAAATCACCAATATGGGAATCTAAAAAATATATGTATTTATGGAATTAAATGCAATTTTTCCAAGAATATTTTCTAAGACATTAAGTGAATAACTTATTATGTAAAAATTATATATGTGATATATGTATGCAAATGCACAGAAAACAGCCTAGTGACATACACACCTTGTACTGCACTGAATAGTGTCCCACAAAAATTCATGTCTTTCTAGAACCCTAGAACATGAACTTATTTGGAAATAGAGTCTTCACAGATATAATTACCAAGTAAAAATGAAGTCACAGTGGATTAGGGTGGGACCTAAATTCAATGACTAGTATACTTTATATAAAGGTCATATGAAGACATACAGGGAAGAAGGTCATGTGAAGATGGAGACAGTGTGACATTAGCTACAGGCCAATGACAAGGACTGCTGGTAACCACCAGAAACTAGGAGAGAAGCATGGAACAGATTCTCCCTCAGACGCTCCAGAAGGAACCAACCTTGCCAACACCTTACTTTGAACTTCTGACCTCCTTGTACTGTGAGAGAGAAAAATTTGTTGTTTTAAGCCACCCATTTTGTGATAATTTGTTGTAGCAGTGCTAGGAAGCTAATTTACACCTGTTTAACAATGGTTAGCTCTAAGGAAGAGATTCTATATTCTAAATAGAATATTATATATTATATTTTATTTCTATATTGTGAGAATTTATTATTCGATGGCTAATTTTTTTGCCAATAAAATTATCCACATTTTATGTTGGAAGTTTTGACTCTGCCCCTTATTAAGTATGAAATCTTGAGCAAGTTATTAAACATATGAATGTCTCAATTGTTTTTTGTAAAATGGGGATAGTAACATCTACCCTCCTCACCTTCCAAGGTCGTAGTGGAGTCCTCCTGGACCCTTTTTCTCTCACTGTCCACATCCATCCTTCCTCCAAAATGGCTCTAGTGACTATGAGCACTTTTCCATTTACATTACCATCTCTGTCTCTAATTCATGTTGCCAGCCCCAGCAGATTCATTTTACCAAAAACACCACTAAATGTTCCTTTTATTTTGAAACCCTTCAACAGTTCCTCATTACCTATTAAATTAGATCCAAACTTCTTAGTAGTTCAAGACCTTCTACATTCTGAGCGCCACCTACCATCCAGCCTTATCAATCTCCACTGCTTCCTTGGTAGAGGGGAGCCAGGTTTGTGGATAATCTTTGAACCTTGAGCCTTGCCTTTCTCAGCCATGCCATTGTGTATGCTTACCCATGTAAATGGACTGTTCTCCATCCTAACCCCCTTTCCAGCTTTATGGTTTCTCCCATGGCCCCACAATAGAAGTATTTCACTGTCCTTTAATTCCTGTAGCACAAACCCTCAGTATTTTACGTATTTTAATCACCCTCCATTAAACTGCAAACTACTTTTGAGAAAAAGAACTTTATTCACGATGGTGCCTACCACACTATCTTATTTGTCACATAAATGAATAACAGTGACAAAACACTTGACTTTTACAGAACTGATATGGGTTCTAAAATTGTTTTAAATTAAAGAAAAATCATATTCTGCCAGTACATATCATACCATCATACTGGCTGTAAAATACTGAAATACTTCCCTACCAATGCTCCTTGCCACCTGAATGCCTCCCACTACCATTGTTGGCCTGGTTTCTCCTCCCCTAGGAACATCTGAGCTCCCGCACTCCCCTAACTAAAGAATTAATGTCTTCCACAGCGGAGAGCACTCAGGTCCCTGCCCCAGCCATATGGCCAGGATCCACGTGGAAGTGTCTATTCTGACTGATCAAAACCCCTGCAAAGTTACTATTAAATATTTTGATAATTACCCCTTATTACAAATAGTTTGACTACACAATTTGAAAATGAGCCTTCTTCTCACTGCAAAATCTCTTGCAAGAGTAGCAGATCCAGGGATAGAAAGGAAAATGAAACACTGTCAGTCTCTGAAGGTTTAGGAAACATCCATTAGGACTCAATCTTCATGTAAACCAGAAGATAAGCAGTTTCTCTCCTAGAAAGAAAAAAAAATGCAACAGCATAACAGAAATGAAACATTCATAGTTAACTGACATATTAATTCATGATAGGACAAACATCAGAAAAGTTTCTGGTTGTTAGATCAAGTCTTCATCTATCCATCACCTCAGAGGGAAAAAAAATGGGTAACCTGGGAAAATAGCCACTAAGCTTCTATTAGTTGACATCTGTATCAGGGGTTGACAAACTATCAGCCCACAAGCCAAATCTAACCCTGTTTTTGCAAATAAATTTAACCAGAACACAGCTACACTCATTCATTCACATAGTGTCTGTGGCTGTTTTTGTGCTACAAGAGCAGAGCTGAGTGGTTGCAACAGAGACTGTATGGCTCATAAGGCCTAAAATATTTACCCTCTGGCCCTTTACAGAAACAGTTTGCCAAACACTGATTTAAATAATGGAAGAATCACTGACAACCAGAAAGTGACATAGAATGATCATCTAAGGGAGATGTTCAGAAGAAAGAAAAGACAAAGAAAAGACAAAGAAGATTGTAAGAGGATTTCAAACACAAATTTTAGCTACTTCATTATTTTTCAAGTGATCAGGCCTACTCCTGCAGCTAAAATCATTTCAAATATCACCTCTTGTATACAATGTCACCCCTAATCCAGAAACTAAACTGGAAAAACTTACAAAGTCTCTCTGCTTTAACTTCATCTGGAGGCACAGAGGTAAGATGGCAGAGGAGTGGGACCCTAATTTCATCTGGTCCTTGGAATTCAGCTATATAGCTATCAAATCATTCTTTTTTTAAAATTTAAATTCAATTAGCCAAGGTGTGGTACATCATTGGTTTTTGAAATAATGTTCAATGATTCATCAGATCAGTATAACACCCCGTGCTCATTGCATCATTCTGAACACCTGTGAACTCAACTGGAGATCTAAGAAAAGAATTGCTGCAATTCTACAAATAGAAAAGTGACCACTTTTTGCAAGGTAGGAGGTGTGGAGAAATGAATCTGAGGTGATATATGGGAAGATAAACCTCAGGGGGAGGGAGCCTCTGTACCTGGCCACCAGAAAGTGATATTAGCAGCGGAGTGTAAAATCAGAATTTTTAGAACTCTGTTACAGTGGGGGACATCCCTGCTTGAAAGGCACTCACGTGGCAAAGCAGGGCAGAATCCCAGGTGGGACGATATGGTCTCAGGATCCCCAGGGTCACAGAAATAACAGGGTGCCTGAGTGTGGCAGAGTTCCCAAGCAGCAGGGAACCCGGCTGCAAACAGCGAGCCCAGGAGTGGGTTTTCTGCTTGGTGTTGCCATAAACCTTGGACCGCTGTATGGTTGGGGGACCACTCTCGACGCAGGGGCCCAGAAAAAGGCAAAACTGAGGCAAGACGCCCCTCCCCCTGGGAGGAGTGGTACAGTGTGCACCACAGGAGTCTAAAATTTGGAGACTCAAAAGGGGGTCACATGCCTAAGATAAAAGTGCTCCATCACAGGCTAGGTGAGCACTGCAGATGGAAACCAGGGAGACAAGAGTGATTGACTGCTTTTCCCTGAGGGCACACTGGGAAGTGGGGGGGGGTGCAAGCTTTTAGCTCTAAGGCTGGAGATCGAGTTACTGCGATTTTCATTTTCATGCCCCAAATCAGTGCTGAAGCCTTCAGGGAACAAAACCCACGTAGAGCAATCCAGAGCCATTTATACTGAGCTTAGCCCCCTTGGCAAGGGGGTGCAATACCACCCAAGCAAAGACACGTTAGAATCAATGCAACAGGCCCCTCCCCCCAGAATATCAGCAAGAACATCTGGCTAATACCAAGTTTACTGACCATACAGGACTGCAAAACTCCAGCGTTAGGAGAAAACCATATGTAGAATTCATGGGTCTTTCTCATGATTCTTTAGTCTTTCACTTTTAAATTTTTTCCTTTTCACCTAATTTCTTATTTTATCAACTCTTTTTTAGGTCTTTTTTAATTTATATTTTTACATTTACATCTTACATATATTTACCATTTTTGGATTGCTTTCATTGTATTCAATTTTATTTTTGTGTGTATATATATATATATATGTTTTCTTTCTTTACAATTTGGGATCTAGTTTCTTCTGATGAACAGACCAAAATACACCCAGGATCTAGTTTATAATTCTGTTTTGTTCATCTTCTGTTTTATTCTATTTCTTTTTTTTTTTCTTTTTTGGCTTCTGATCTCTTCTGATTTGTTTATTGTATATTTGTCAGTGTATATTTAGAAAAATATTTTCCTATTTTTATCTTTTCTGCTCTCTTTCATCTATTCTTCTCTGGACACAATGACAATGAAGAAGAACTCAACCAAAAAAGAGAACAAGAGGCAGTACTCACTGCCAGGGATTTAATCAATATGGATATAAGTAAGATGTCAGAACTAGAATTTGATAATAAAACAGAACTAGAACAATAATAAAGATACCAGAGGACTTGAAAAAAGCATAGAAGACATCAAAAAATCTCTTTCTGGAGAAACAAAAGAATTAAAATCTAATCAGGTTGAAATCAAAAAAGGTATTACCGAGATGCAATCCAAAATGGAGGCTCTAACTGCTGGGATAAATGATATAGTGATATAGAAAACAAAATGATGAAGAATAAAAAAGCTGAGAAAAAGAGAGATAAACAACTATTGGATCATGAGGGAAGAATTCTAGAGATAAGTGATACCATAGAGCAAAACAATATTACAATAATTGGGGTCCCAGGGGAAGAAAAGACAGACAGGGGGCAGAAGGTTTATTTGAGCAAAATATAGAGGAGAACCTCCCTAATCTGTGAAAGGAAGCAGGCATTCAATTCCAGGAGGTCCAGAGAACCCCCTCAAAATCAACAAAAATAGTTCAATACCTCAACATATAATAGTGAAGTTTGCCCATTTCAGAGACAAACAGAAAACCCTGAAAGCAGCTCAGGACAACAGGTCCTTAATCTACAAGGGTAGAAACATAAGGCTGGCAGCAGACCTATCCACAGACCTGGCAGGCCAAAAAGGAGGGGCATGATATATTCAACATGCTAAAGGGGAAAAATATGCAGCCAAGAATACTTTATCCAGCAAGGCTGTCATTCAGAATGGAAGGAGAGATAAAGAGCTTCCAGGACAAACAGAAACTAAAAGAATTTGTGATCATTAAACCAGACCTGAAAGAAATATTAAAGGGGATCCTTTAAGCGAAGAGAGAGCCCAAAAGTAACAAAGTCAGAAAGAAAAGATAATCTAGAGAAACAGCAACTTTATAGGTAATACAATGGCACTTCATATCTTTCAATAATTACTCTGAATGTAAATGGACTAAATGCTCCAATCAAGACAGAGGGTATCAGAAAGGATAAAAACACAAGACCCATTGAAATGCTATCTATAAGAGACTTATTTTAGACCCAAAGACACCTCCAGATTAAAAGTGAGGAAGTGGAGAATCATTTATCATGCTAATGGATATCCAAAGAAAGCTGGAGTAGCAATCCTTATATCAGACAAAATAGATTTTAGACCAAAGACTGTAATAAGTGATGAAGAAGGGCACTCTATCATAATTAAAGGGTCTATCCAACAAGAAGATCTAGCAATTGTAAATCTTTATGCCCCTAGCCTGGAGCAGCCAATTAATAGGCCAATTAATAACAAAATTAAAGAAACACATTGATAATAATACAATAATAAGGGACTTTAACACCACACTCACAGCAATGGGCATATAATCTAAGCAGAATATCAACAAGGACACAAGAGCTTTGAATGACACTCTGGACCAGATGAATGTCACAGATATATACAGAGCATTCCATCTTAAAGCAACAGAATACATATTCTGGAACATTCTCCAGAAGAGATCACACACTGGATCACAAATCAGGTTTCAACCAGCATCAAAAGATTGGGATTATTCCCTGCATATTTTCAGACCACAGTGCTTTAAAACTTGAACTCCATCACAAGAGAAAATTTGGAAAGAACACAAGTACATGGAAGTCAAAGAGCATCCTACTAAAGATTATGAATCGTTCAACCAGGAAATTAAAGAAGAATTTTTAAAAATTCATGGAAACAAATGAAAATGAAAATACAACTGCTCAAAATCTTTGGGATGCAGGAAAGACAATCCTAGAGGGAAGTACATAACAATACAGACCTTTCTCAAGGAACAAGTCTCACGTATACAAGCTAAACTTACACCTAAAGGAGCTAGAGAAAGAAGAGCAAATAAAGCCTAAAACCAGCAGGAGAAGAGAAATAATAAAGATTAGAGCAGAAATCAATGATATAGAAATAAAAGAAAACAGTAGGACAGATCAGGGAAATCAGGAGTTGATCTTTAAAAGAATTAATAAGATTGATAAACCTATAGCGAGACTTAACAAAAAAAAAAGAGAGAGAGAGAGAGAGAGGAGAAAGGCCCCAAATTAATAAAATCATGAATGAGAGAGGAGAGATCACAACCTACACTAAAGAAATACAAACAATTACAAGACTATAGAGCAACAATATACCAACAAATTAAGCGATCTGGAGAAAAGGATGCATTCCTAGGAACATATAAACTACCAAAACTGAAACAGGAAGAAATAGAAAACCTGATCAGACCCACAGCCAGCAAGGAAATTGATGCAGTAATGAAAAAAACCTTCCAAATAACAAAGTCCAGGGCTGGATGGCTTCCCAGGTGAATTCTACCAAACATTTAAAGAAGAAATCATACCTATTTTCTGTGTCAAAATACAGAAATGGAAGGAAAACTTCCAAACTCATCATAAGAGGCCAGCATTACCTTGATCCCCAAACCAAAGACCCCATCAAAAAGGAGAATTACAGACCAATATCCCTGACAAACATGGATGCAAAAATTTTCACCAAGATACTAGCCAATAGGATCCAATATTCAAAGGATTATTCACCAGGACCAAGAGGGATTTATTCCTGGGCTGCAAGGATGGTTCAACATCTGTAAATCAATCAATGTGATACACCACATTAATAAAGGAAAGAACAAGAACCATATGATTCTCTCAATTGATGCAGAAAATGCATTTGACAAAGTACAGCATCCTTTCTTGATTAAAGCTCTCTACAATGTAGGGATAAAGGGAAATTACCTCAAGATCACAAAAGCCATATACAAAAAGCCCACAGTGAATATCATTCTCAATGGGGAAAAACTGAGAACTTTTCCCTTAAGGTCAGGAACATAACAGGGATGTCCACTCTCATCATAGTACTAGAAGTCCTAGCCTCAGCAATCAGACAACAAAAACAAATAAAAGGCATCCAAATCGGCAATGAAGTCAAACTTTCACTCTTCACAGATGACATCATACTCTATGTGGAAAACCCAAAAGACTCCACCAAAAAAACTGCTAGAACTGATACAGGAATTCAGCAAAGTGGCAGGATATAAAATCAATGCATAAAAGTCCGTTGCATTTCTATACAGTAGCAATGAGGCAATAGAAAGGGAAACCAAGGAATCGATCCCATTTCCAATTGCACCAAAACCTATAAATACCTAGGAATAAACCTAACCAAAGAGATAAAGGATCCGTACTCTGAAAACTATAGGACACTTGTGAAAGAAATTGAGGAAGACACAAAGACATGGAAAAACGTTCCGTGCTCATGGACTGGAAGAACAAATATTGTTAAAATGTCTATGTTCCCCAGAGCAATCCATCCATTCAATGGGTGCAAACCCTATCAAAATACCATCAACATTTATCTCAGTGTTGGAAGAAATAATCCTAAAATGTGTATGGAACCAGAAAAGACCCCGAATAGCCAGAGGAATCTTGAAAAAGAAAAGCAAAGCTGGTGGCATCACAATTCCGGACTTCAAGCTCTATTACAAAGCTGTAATCAAGACAGTATGGTATTGGCACAAAAACAGACAGATAGATCAAGGGAACAGAATAAAGAGCCCAGAAATGGACCCTCATGTCTATGGTCAACTAATCTTCAACAAAGCAGGAAAGAATGTCCAGTGGAAAAAAAAGAGTCTCTTCAACAAATGGTGCTGGGAACACTGGACAGCCACACGCAGAAGAATAATACTGGACCATTCTCTTACACCATACACAAAGATAAACTCAAGGTGGATGGAAGACCTAATGTGAGACAGGAATTCATCAAAATCCTGCAGCAGAACACAGGCAGGATACTCTTGGACCTCAGCCCAGCAACTTCTTGCTAGACACATCTCCAAAGGCAAGAGAAACAAAGGCAAAAATTACTTTTGGGACTTCATCAAGATAAAAAGCTTCTGCACAGCAAAGGAAACAGTCAACAAAGCTAAGAGGCAACCCACAGAATGGGAGAAGATATTTGCACATGTCTTATCAAATAAAGGGCTGGTATCCAAGATCTATAAAGAACTTCTCAAACTCAACACCCCCCAAAAAATAATCTAGTCAAAAAATGGACAGACGACCTGAACAAACCTTCTCCAAAGAAGACATACAAATGGCTAACAGACACATGAAAAAATATTCAACATCACTAGCCATCAGGGAAATACAAATCAAAACTACAATGAGATATAACCTTACACCATTTAGAATGGCCAAAATTAACAAGGCAGGAAACAACAAATGTTGGCGGGGATGCGGAGAAAGAGGAACCCTCTTACCCTGTTGGTGGGAATGCAAGCTGGTGCAGCCACTCTGGAAAACAGTATGGGGGTTCCTCAAGATGTTCAAAATAGAGCTACCCTATGACCCAGCAATTGCACTACTAGGTATTTACCCCAAAGATACAGATGTAGTAAAAAGGAGGGGCACATGCACCCCAACGTTCATAGCAGCAATGTCCATAATAGCCAAACTGTGGAAGGAGCCAAGATGCCCTTCAACAGATGAATGGATAAAGAAGATGCGGTTCTTATATACAATGGAATATTATTCAGCCATCAGAAAGGATGAATACCCACCATTTGCATCGACATGGATGGAACTGGAGGGGGTTATGCTAAGTGAAATAAGTCAAGCAGAGAGACAATTATCATATGGTTTCACTCATATGTGGAACATAAGGAATAGAGTGGAGGACCATAGGGGAAGGGAGGAAAAACTGAAGGGGAAGAAATCAGAGAGGGAGAGAAACCATGAGAGACTCTGGACTCCAGGAAACAATCTGAGAGTTTCAGAGGGGAGGGGGATGGGGGCTGGGGCAGCCGGGTGATGGGTATTAAGGAGGGCACATGCTGTGATGAGCGTTGGGTGTTATATGCAACTAAGGAATAGTTGAACACTACATCAAAAACTAATGATGCACTATACAATGGTTAACAGAACAATTTTTTCTTTAAAAAATGAAATAAATAAATAAATAAATAAACCCTTCATCCTGAGGCACCTGTGTGTCTCAGTCAGTTAAGTGTCTGCCTTCAGCTCATGTCATGATCCCAGTGTCCTGAGATCGAGTCCCGCATCATCCCGCATCAGACTCCATGCTCAGTGGGGAGTCTGCTTCTCCCTCTCCCTCTCCCTCTGCCTGTCACTCCCCCTGCCTGTGCTCTCTCTCTCTCTCAAATAAATTTTAAAAAAATCTTTAAAAAAAACCCTTCATCTGGCTTCTCTAGCTGCCCCCCTGTAGTTGTTGATTTTTAAAAACATATTTATAGCTATTTACTAAATGCAAGCCACTGTACCGGACAAAGAAAAAGAATGATCCTTTATCCCAAATAGCTCATGGTCTAATATAAAAGAAAGTTATATATGCAAACAATTACAAATAGGGTGGTCCTTGCTATAAAGGACATATGCTTAAAGTGCCCGGCAAGCATATGAGAAGCCCCTACAAATCTTCCAGCGTCAATCAGTGCAGGCTTTACAGAGTAGGAAAAGCCATGAGCAGAGATATAAAAGCATGAGTGGGTGTTTGCCTCAAAAATAAATTAGGAGAGGAGAAACAAACCAGGAACTGCATGTGCAAGCTATGGAGATATGATGTTTGGGGAGTAGTTATACTTTAGTATTATTGGCATCTAAATTGTGAAAAATGCATGCTACGGTGAGATGTGTAATGAGAGATGAGGCTGAACAGCTAATCACTGGGGAGTTACCCAAATACAAGTGGCAGCTGAATCCATGGGAGTTTCATACAGCAATAAGAACCCTGTGTAAACTCATTGGGTTTCCATCACTCAAACACTTACCAGCGGTAGTTATGATTTCCATAAGTACACTGGATGTCTTCCCAGGATACCTAGAAGTACATAAATAGATGAAGTGAAGCATCGAGCTGACATCTGTTAAGAACCCAGAGAGTATGGGGTACTACAATTTACCCCACCTCACTCATCCAGACAAACCCACCCCTGTACCTCTCAAGACCTGGATCATCCAGTGATAGGATGCCATGTTTATGAAGCCTCTTTTAGTACCCTGTTTCCTCTATTTAAACTTGATTGTGCTTGGTTCTAACTTACATATATCTAACTCTTCTTGCTTTCTGTAAGTTTCCCACAGACAGAAGACACCAACAAACCTAGACACTGAGCTAAGTGAACTCTCACAGGGCTATACATCAGATGGGGACTTCATGCAGAAAAGGACTTTAAGCAGAATCAGACCTATAAACAGAACAAACAGATGGTTGCCAGAGGGGAGGCGGGGATGGGCAAAATGGGTGAAGAAGAGTGAAAGATACAGGCTTCCAGTTATGGAATGAGTAAGTCACAAGAATAAAATGCACAACATAGGGCACCTGTGTTGCTCAGTCAGTTAAGCATTCGACTCTTGATTTCAGCTCAGGTCATGATCTCAGGGTTGTGAGATCAAGCCCCACATGAGGCCTCTACGTGGAGCCTGCTTGGGATTCTCTCCCTATGCCTCACCCCTGCTTGTTCTCTCTCTCTCTCTCTTTCTCAAAAAGAAAAAGGCACAGCGTAAGGAATATAGTCAGTGATACCGTGATAGCATTGTACAGTGACAGATGGTAGCTACACTTGCAGAGAGCACAGCATAAATGTATACACATGTTGAATCACTATATTGTACACCTGGAACTAATGTAACATCGTGTAAACTATACTTGAATTTAAAAAAGCTTTTTATAAAGGAAAGGACTGTTTACAGTCCCCCCCACACACACACAGAGAACTGGCCCACAATGTGTCCTGACCTTGAGGACCCATCTAGTCCTGGGTTCAGAATCTATTAGAGGTGGCCAATCCAGGACAAGAGGAAATTTTGGACGATGTTCTCACCCAAGAAACATTGGAATCGTTGAAGCAGAACCATTTTCCATCCACAGAGTTCTGGATATAGGCACAGTAATGACCAAAGTCAGCTGCCCCCACATGGGCAACCACAGCAAAGAGCTCGTACTGTCTTCCAAGCTGGAAGGACACAAGGCACAAAATTATTCACCCATCATCCCTCCTTTTCTAACCATAGTCTAGAATAAAGAAACATTATTTCATCACATATTTATTTAGTGCCCACTCTGTACCAAGCACTGGTACTTCAAGGGGGCTAGAAAATAGTCCTTGAACTCAAGAATCTCACAATTAATTAAGTCACAATTATAATGCCATGCCCCCCAAAAGGAGAAGGAATAATTATCTGAGAAAAGCTCCCCAGAGAAGACATGTCTGAATTGATCTTGAAGGATGAACAAGACTAGGTAGGGAGTATACTCGAATGGACCCCAAAATTGCAAAGACTTGGCAGCATAGCCGAACAGAGCATGTTGAGGAAATGGGAGTCCGGGAGGGTGCTGGGAAGTCACAAGATATGTGGCTACAAAGGTTAAGTCAAGAATTAGAACTTTAGGGGCACCTAGGTGGTCCAGTCGATTAAGTGTCTGCCTTTGGTTTGGGTCATGATCCGGGGATCCTGGGATCATGCCCCGTGTCAGGCTCCCTGCTCAGTGGGGAGCATGTTTCTCCCTCTGCCCCTCTCCCTGCCCATGTTTTCTCTCTCTCAAGTAAATAAATAAAATCTTTAAAAAAAGAATTAGAACTTTATTTCTTTATAGTTTCAAGTTTTTTATTTAAATTTCAGTTAGTCACACTGAAAGGATATGGAGAAGGAACAGTAAATAAAGCCTAAACCAAGCAGGAGAAGACAAATAATAAAGATTAGAGCAGAAATCAATGAAATAGAAACTAGAAGAACAGTAGAACAGATCAACGAAACTAGAAGCTGGTTCTTTGAAAGAAGTGATAAGATCAATAAATGTCTGGCCACACTTATCCAAAAGAAAAGAGAAAGGACCCAAATAATAAAATCATGAATTAAAGAGGAGAAATCAGCAGCTATATGCCAACAAACTAGGGAATCTGGAAGAAATGGATGCATTCCTGGACACTTACAAACTACCAAGACTAAAACAGGAAGGAAGAGACAATCTGAACAGAGCAATAACCAGCAAGGAAATTGAAACAGTCATCAAAAATCTCCCAAAAAATAAGAGCCTAAGGCCAGATGGCTTCCCAGGGGAATTCTACCAAACATTTAAAGAAGAACTCATACCTGTTCTTCTGAAGCTGTTCCAAAAAAATAGAAATGGAAGGAAAACTTCCAAACTCATTCCATGAGGCCAGCATTACCTGATCCCCAAAAGAGACAAAGACCCTATTGAAAAGGAGAATTACAGACCAATATCCCTGATGAACATGGATGCCATAATATTCACCAAGATCCTAGCCAACAGGATCCAAGAGTACATGAAAAGGATTATTGACCACGACCAGGTGGGATTTATTCCTGGGATACAAGGGTGGTTCAACATTCACCAAACAATCAACGTGATAGATCACATTAACAAGAGACAAGAACCACATGATCCTCTCAATTGATGCATAATAAGCATTTCACAAAATACAGCATCCTTTCCTGATTAAAACTGTTCAAATACAGGGATAGAGGGAACATACCTCAATATCATAGAGCCATCTTTGAAAAGCCCACTGCACATATCATTCTCAATGGGGGAAAACTGAGACTTTTTCCCTTAAGGTCAGAAACATGACAGGGATGCCCACTGTCACCACTTTTGTTCAACACAGTACTAGAAGTCCTAGCCTCAACAATCAGACAACAAAAAGAAATAAAATCCACTCAAATTGGCAAAGAAGGGGGGCGCCTGAGTGGCTCAGATTGTTAAGCATCTGCCTTTGGCTCGGGTCATGATCCCAGGATCCTAGGATTGAGCCCCACATTGGGCTCCTGGCTCAGCGAGGAGCCTGCTTCTTCCTCTCCCTCTCTCCCTGCTCAAGCTTTCTCTCTCTCTCTATCTCTGTGTCTCAAATGAATAAATAAAATCTTAAAAAAAATTGGCAAAGACGAAGTCAAACTCTCTCTCTTCGCAGACGACATGATACTTAATGTGGAAAACCCAAAAGACTCCACCCCAAAATTACTAGAACTCATACAGCAATTCAGCAATGTGACAGTATACAAAACCAATGCACAGATCAGTTGCATTTCTATACACTAACAATGTGACTGAAAGAAGAGAAATTAAGGAAATCGATTCCATTTACAATAGCACCAAAAACTGTAAGTTACCTAGGAATAAACCTAACCGAAGAGGTAAAGGATCTATACTCCAAAAACTACAGAACACTTATGAAAGAAATTGAGGAAGACACAAAGAGATGGAAAAAAACATCCCATGCTCATGGATTGGAAGAATAAACATTGTGAAAATGTCTATGCTGCCCAGAGCAATCTACACATTCAATGCAATCCCTATTAAAATCCCACTGAGAGGGGAGGAGAAAGATGGCAGAGGAGTAGGAGGCCTAAATTTCGTCTGGTCCCAGGAATTCAGGTATATAGTTATCAAACCATTCAGAACATCTACAAACTCAACAGGAGATCAAAGAAAAGAATAGCAGCAACTCTATGAACAGAAAAGTGACCACTTTCTGGAAGTTAGGAAGTGTGGAGAAGTGAATCTGAGGCGATATTCAGGAAGATAGATGGCAGGGGAGGGGGCCTCCGTCGGCCACTTCTGGCAAGTGATAGAGCAGCAGAGCACAAAATCGTAACTTTTAGAGGTCTGCTCTGCTGAGGGATGTCGCTCCAGTGGCTAAGCCAGGGGTAGAACCCTTGCTGGGACAGTGTGGTCTCAGGACCAGGGATGCCTGAGTGCGGCAGAGCTCCTAGGTATCAGAGCAGGGAAGCTGGCTGCAGAGATGGAGCCGAGGAGCAGGCTCTCAGCTCGGGGTTGCCATAAGCCGTGATCTGCAGCACAGTCAGGCCACTGCTCTTCCAGCAGGGACCCAACAAGCGGCAGATCTGGGGAGACTCCCCTCCACCCCCGGGAAGAGCGGTGCAGGAGTGCACCACAGGGATCTGCTGGGTTTGAAGACTCCACACAGGGCCATGTGCCAGAGATAGAAATGCTCGGTCACAGGCCGGGTGAGCACGGAGTGTGGCCAGAGACCGGGGAGATGGGAGTGACTGACTGCTTTTCTCTGGGGAGTCACTGAGGAGTGGGGGCCCAAGTTCTCAGCTCCTCCGGGGTGGAGATTGGGAGGCTGCCATTTTTTTTCTCATCCTCCAAAGTTGTGCGGGAAGCTTTCAGGGAACAAAAGCTCCCAAGAGCAAACGCGAGCAGATTACTTAGACCGGCCCCCAGCAAGGGCAGGGCAATTGCACCTCTGGCAAAGACATTTGAGAACCACGGCAACAGGCCCCTCCCACAGATCAGCAAGAAGAGCCAGCCAAGACCAAGTTTACCGATCAATGAGAACAGCAGAACTCCAGTGCTAGGGGAATACTGCACATAGAATTCATAGCTTTTTTCCCATGATGCTTTAGTCTTTCAAAGTTAATTTTTTAAATTTTATTTCTTCTTTTTCTGATTTTTTAGTTGAATTTTTCTTCTTTCCTTTTTCAACCAACATCTTATCAATTCCTTTCTTAAAATTTTTTAATTATTCATTTTTACAGTCATATTCTATCTCTTCATTGTATTTAACCTCATTTTTTGTACATATATGTTTTCCTTTCTTTAAAGTTTGGGATACAGTTTCTTCTAACAGACCAAAATATACCCTAAATCTAGTGTATGACATTGTCCTAGTCTCCCGCCTGATCACATTTTTAAAAAAATTTTTTCATTCTTTTTTCAACCAACTTATCTTACCAATTCCTTTTTTAAAATCTTTTTTTAATTTTCATCTTTACAGTCATATTCCATCCCTTCATTGTGTTTACCCTTATTTTTGTATACATATATGTTTTCCTTTATTTAAAATTTTGGGAGGCAATTTCTTCTAACGACCAAAATACACCCAAAAACTAGTGTGTGGCTGTTATATTCACCAGCCTGATCATATTCTTTCTTTTTTTCCCCCCTCTTTCTCCGCCCCCCCCATTTCGGGTCTCTTCTGATTTGTTTAGCATATATAGAATTTTCTGGGGTCATTGTTACCCTTTTAGTATTTTTTTTACATTTTGTTCTCTCATTCTTCTATTCTCCTCTGGACAAAATGACAAGACGGAAAAAAATTACCTCAAAAAAAAAAAAAAAAAAGAACAAGAGGCAGTACCAACTGCCAGGGACCTAATCAATACAGACATTAGTAAGATGTCGGACTAGAGTTCAGAATGACGATTATAAAGATATTAGCTGGGCTTGAAAAAAGCATAGAAGATACTAGAGAATCCCTTTCTGGAGAAATAAAAGAACTAAAATCTAACAAAGTCGAAATCAAAAAGGCTATTAATGAAGTGCAATCAAAAATGGAGGCTCTAACTGCTAGGATAAATGAGGCAGAAGAGAGAATTAGTGATATAGAAGACCAAACGATGGAGAATAAAGAAGCTGAGAAAAAGAGACAACTACGGTATCATGAGATGAGAATTCAAGAGGTAAGTGATACCATAAAGCAAAACAACATTAGAATAATTGGGATCCCAGAAGAAGAAGAAGAGAAGAGAGGGGCAGAAGGCATATTGGAGCAAATTATAGCACAAAACTTCCCTAATTTGGGGAAGGAAGGCATCAAAATCCAGGAGGCACAGAGAAGCCCCCTCAAAATCAATAAAAATAGGTCAACACCCCGACATCTAATTGTAAAACTCACAAGTCTCAAGAGACAAAGAGAAAATCCTGAGAGCAGCTCAGGACAAGAGGTCTGTAACCTACAATGGTAGAAACATTGGATTGGCAGCAGACCTATCCACAGAGACCTGGCAGGCCAGAAAGGACTGGCATGATATATTCAGGGCACTAAATGAGAAAAATATGCAGCCAAGAATACTGTATCCCACTAGGCTATCACTGAAAATAGAAGGAGAGATGGGGCACCTGGGTGGCTCAGTTGATAAGCATCTGCCATTGGCTCAAGTCATGATCCCAGGGTCCTGGGATGGAGCC